CCACCCATTCCCCTCCCCCCCCCCCAAAAATCCCGGGATTGAAATTCCCAGGAATTGGCTCCAGCCATGATCGGAAAAAGTCGGGAATTTTCTGGAGAAACGGGGGAAAAACGGGAAAGGCCTCGGTCGTGGTTTGGGAATATCCAAAGGATTCCTGGGAATTCCTCAAGTGAAGGGGGGGAAAAAAAGAAATCCTGGAATTTTTACAGGGAAGGGATCTTGGGAATCCCGGGAAAAAGGGAATTTTGGGAAGGGAGGAGATCCCAGAAAAATGGGGAATTTTGGGAATGAGGAATTCTGGGATTGAGCAGGAAAAAAATCCCAGGAATTCCTCCCCTCTCCAAAAAAAAAAGTGGAATTTTTGGGAATGAGTTTCTCCTGGGAGCGAATCCCGGGAAAAATGGGAATTTTGGGAATGAGGGATTCCGGGATAGCACAGGGAATAAAACCTGGGAATTCCAGGAAAAACAGGAAATTCGGGAATTCCGGGATCTCACGGTGGGGGGAATAAAACCCGGGAACTCCAGGATCTCAGAGGGAATTTTGGGGATGAGGAACTCCAGGATCTCACAGGAAATAAAACCCAGGAATCCCGGGAAAACCGGGAATTTTGGGAATCAGCTTCTCCCTCTCCGCCAAAACCCCGCGACCCCAAAAACCGGGAAAGAGGCGAATCCCAAATAAATAGGGCGGATCCCGGGAATTCCCAGCGGGGCGGGGGAGGGGGGGTGTGAAAAAAGCGGGAAGAGCCTGGGGAATTCCGGGAATTCCGGGAATTTTAAGTGTCCTCGGTCATGTCCTGGCTCCCGGTCCGGGCGATTTTCCGGGGCGGGGCCGAGTTCTCCCCCTCCAGCTCCCCCTGCTCCTGGTCCCGCTTCTTGGCCGCATTCTGGGGAGAGCCGGGAATTCCACAGGGACGGCCCGGAATTCCCGGAATTCCCAAATCCCAGAAATTCCACAGGGACGGCCCGGAATTCCCGGAATTCCCAGTGTTCCCAAATCCCAGCGTCCCCCAACCCCAGCATTCCAGGAATTCCCAGTGTTCCCGAATCCCAGTATTGCAAGAATTCCCAATATTCCCAACTCCCAGTATTCCCAAATTCCAGCATTCCCAAACCCAAGTATTGTAGGAATTCCTAGTATTCCCATATCGCAGTATTCCAGGAATTCCCAGTGTTCTCCAAGCCCAGTATTCCCAGAATTCCCAGCGTTCTGACATCCCAGTATTCCCAAATCCCCACCTCCCAGATCAGAGCATTCCCAAATCCCAGCATTCCAGGAATTCCCAGCATTCCCAAATCCCAGCATTCCCAATCCCAGCATTCCCAAATCCCAGCATTCCCAAATCCCAGCATTCCCAATCCCATCATTCCCAATCCCATCATTCCTGAATCCCATCATTCCCAATCCCAGCATTCCCAACCCCAGCATTCCCAATCCCATCATTCCCAATCCCATCATTCCCAACCCCATCATTCCCAATCCCATCATTCCCAATCCCATCATTCCCAACCCCATCATTCCCAATCCCAGCATTCCCAATCCCATCATTCCCAATCCCATCATTCCCAATCCCAGCATTCCCAAATCCCAGCATTCCCAATCCCATCATTCCCAACCCCAGCATTCCCAATCCCAGCATTCCCAATCCCATCATTCCCAACCCCAGCATTCCCAACCCCATCATTCCCAACCCCAGCATTCCCAATCCCATCATTCCCAACCCCATCATTCCCAACCCCATCATTCCCAACCCCAGCATTCCCAACCCCAGCATTCCCAATCCCATCATTCCCAATCCCATCATTCCCAACCCCATCATTCCCAATCCCATCATTCCCAATCCCAGCATTCCCAACCCCATCATTCCCAAATCCCAGCATTCCCAATCCCAGCATTCCCAAATCCCATCATTCCCAATCCCATCATTCCCAACCCCAGCATTCCCAATCCCATCATTCCCAATCCCAGCATTCCCAAATTCCCGAGCCAATCCCCCCCGCTCCCCCCCCTTTTCCCGAGCCAATCCCGGGATTTTCCCCAGCCCGGAATTCCCACCCCAACCATTCCAAGCAATCCCAAATTCCCGGGAAAAAAAGGAAGGAAAAAAAAGCGGGAATTGCGCTCCCGGGTTTCACCTTTTTGTCCCACTGCTGGTGGAGGTAGCGCAGGAGGATGTTCGTCTTCTCTGTCACGATAACTGCCCGAATTCCCGGGAAAAACACGGAAAGAATTCCAGGTTTTTGGGGGATCCCGGGGGTTAAAGGGGGAGGGGAAAATCGGGGATTGATGGGGAGAAAGAAAGGGGAAAATGGGAATAAATCGAGGGGGAATTGGGGTAAATCGAGGGGAAAACTGGGAATAAATCCAGGGGAAATTGGGAATAAATCAAGGGAAAACTGGGAATAAATCAAGGGAAAACTGGGAATAAATCAAGGGAAAATTGGGAATATATAAGGGGAAAATTGGGAATAAATCAAGGGAAAATTTGGAATAAATCCAGGGAAAATTGGGAATAAATCAAGGGAAAACTGGGAATAAATCAAGAGAAAATTGGGAATAAATCAAGGGAAAACTGGGAATAAATCAAGGGAAAACTGGGAATAAATAAGGGGAAAATTGGGAATAAATCCAGGGAAAACTGGGAATAAATCAAGGGAAAACTGGGAATAAATCCAGGGAAAACTGGGAATAAATCCAGGGAAAACTGGGAATAAATCCAGGGAAAACTGGGAATAAATAAGGGGAAAATTGGGAATAAATCAAGGGAAAACTGGGAATAAATCAAGAGAAAACTGGGAATAAATCAAGAGAAAACTGGGAATAAATAAAGGGAAAATTGGGAATAAATAAGGGGAAAATTGGGAATAAATCAAGGGAAAATTTGGAATAAATAAAGAGAAAAATGGGAATAAATCAAAGGAAAATTGGGAATAAATCAAGGCATTATTGAGAATAAATCAAGGGAAAACTGGGAATAAATAAGGGGAAAATTGGGAATAAATCCAGGGAAAATTGGGAATAAATCAAGGGGAAAGTTGGGATAAACAAGGGGAATGTTGGGAATAAATAATGAGAAAAATGGGAATAAATCCAAGGAAAATTGGGAATTAACAAAGGAAAAATTTGGGATAAATGAGGAGAGAATTGGGAATAAAGAAAAGAAAAAATCAGGAATAAGGTAAGAAAAGAAGTGGGAATGAAAAAGGGAAATTTGGGAATAAATGATGAGAAAGTGGGGAAGAAATAAAAGTAAAATTGGGAATAAAGAAGGGAAAAATTGGGAATTAAAAGGGGAAAATTTGGGATAAAGCGAGGGAAATTGGGATTTTGTGATTTCCCCAACCGAACCCGGAGAAAGTTCCGGAAAAACCCGGGATTTTCCCGGCAAACTCACTCTGTTCCGAGGGGAATTCTCTGGTGGGCAAATACACCGAGGGGCGGCGGTTCTGGAATGGGAATTCCGAGAGATCCGTCAGCAATGGGAACACCGGGATTGGGAATGCTGGGAGTGTTGGGAATGCTGGGAATGTTGGGATTTGGGAATGTTGGGATTGGGAATGCTGGGATTTGGGAATCCTGGGAATGCTGGGAAAGCTGGGATTTGGAATGTTGGGATCCAGGAATGCCAGATTTTGGAACGCCAGGATTTGGGATGAGGAATGCTGGGATTCAGGAACACTGGGATGGGGGAATTCTGGGAACGCCAGGATTTGGGAATGTTGGGAATGTTGGGATTGGGGAAAACTGGGATTGGGAATTCTGGGATTTGGGAATGCTGGGAATGTTGGGATGAGGAATGCTGGGATTCAGGAACACTGGGATGGGGGAATTCTGGGAACGCCAGGATTTGGGAATGTTGGGACTCAGGAACCCCAGGATTCAGGAATGCCAAGATCTGGGAATGCTGGGATCTGGGAATTCCAGGATTGGGGAATTCCAGGATTGGGGAATTCCGGGATCGGGAGCACTCACGGAAGCCTTGCAGACGGAATCCGCATGGAATCTGCTGAAGTTGCTCTTGTTGTACACCGGGAGCCCCTTCAGGAAATCTGCCTGGAGAGGCAGAATTCCCAAAAAAACCCCTCAGGGAAGGAGCAGGGATAGGCCAGGGAATGCCGGCAGATCCCAGGGATTTGTGTCCATCCAAGCGACCCCCACATCCAGCCCCAGATTCTCAAGGATTGAGAGGAAAATTCCTGGGATTTGGGCGACTCAAAGTTTTCCTTTCCCGGATAAAATTCCCAGGCTGATCCCAGGGCTGAAATTCCCAACCCCTGGGAGACCTGGGAATGGTCCTGATCCAAACCCATGGAACAATTCCCATCCCAAAATCCCCAAGGGATCATCCCAGACGCGTTCAGATCCCTCAATTCCCATCCCAAAATCCCCAAGGGATCATCCCAGACGGGTTCAGATCCCTCAATTCCCATCCCAAAATCCCCAAGGGATCATCCCAGATGGGTTCAGATCCCTCAATTCCCATCCCAAAATCCCCAAGGGATCATCCCGTGGATGCTCCAATTCTTTCATTCCCAAAAAAACCTGAGGGTGGAAGAGCTGCCCAACCCCTCCCCCTCCCCCAAAACCGAGGGTGGGGAAGCCCCCAAATCCCACAGGGATCCCAAAATATTCCAACCCCCCCCAAATATTCCAAGGGGGAACACCCAGTGCCCCTAAACCCCCTCAAAACAAATGGTTCGGTCCAACTTTAGGGTGACCCCTAAACCCACCCACAAAAAAAAATGGTTTGGTCCCATTTTAGGGTGGCCCCCACCCATACTGGGGTGCTCCAGCCCCA